CATGCCTGCTGTATGAAACCTAATGAAATCTCTGTTAGTCTGCTTGCAAGGTTAACTTCTTTTCTCTATGGTGGAAATGCTGTTTTATGCAGAGCCTCTGTATTTTGTTCCTTTTATTTCCAATACATGAAGCAAAATTCACTAGCTGGGCAAGGTAATGTCCTCACAACTATCTGCTTTTTCAAATTTGTGTTTCTTAGAAAAATAGATACCAATGTTTTACACCAAGATTGAAACCAGAAAAATATTTAAAGTCCTGCAAGAGGCTCATGCAGCATGAGCCAAAATCTGTTTTTAAGTGGAAATAAATTAACTTTTTACATATTGCTCCTATACTCTTCACCACTAATGTAAATCCGTCTCATTTGCTTTTGGTCCCATGAGAATACATTTGCATCAGATTTGATATATGTGAAAAAGGTCAGAAGTGAGAGTCTTCATATTCTTCACAGAAAGAGGTATTTTAATTAATTTGCATCCAAGTTACTTTACATTTTGGTAGCTGCACTTAAAAAAACAAAAACCAAAACCAACATCTCACTTCAGATAGGTCCTGCACCACCCCCAGCATTCCAGGAAGATCTAAGGGTGGGAGAAGGGCAGCTGGCCTCTGGATATGTAAGAAGAGAGGACATTCAGGACAGAGTTTGGAGACGCCTGTTCCTGGCACCTAGGACTTGTCCTGTTTCACCAGGGTTTTCTTGACGTGACTCTACTTTGCCACCTGTCTGTGGGAAGGCAGAAACATGAGCAGCAGTACTTGTGGATGTGATGAAGCAAGCAGCAGCTTTCAAACATCTGTGTTGTCAGGTCATTTATTTATTTTTAGCCCGAGGTAGCCCCACAGGATTGCCTGAAGATCTGCTTATAGACTCTTCCTGACAGCCTTTCCTGTGGAAGGGCTTTTCCGAGCCAAGTAGGCTTTAGAGGGGAGGGCCGAGGGAGGGACTTGGAAGCCAAACTAATAAACAACTACCCAACTTTCTGCCAAGCTCTTCTGCTTTGAAAATCTTCAGTAGACAGCTATTGTGCAATTGCCTCTTTGTGCAGTGCTGTTTGAATAGCCAGGTCTGACAACTTTGTTCTTTTCTCCATATGTTCCTTTACTTATTCTGCCTTACTAGAGTGCATGCCAGGAAAAAAAAAAGCATTCATCTGGCTTTTCTTTTGCTTGCCCTTGCAGGAGCGGGAGGTGGGGTAGCCTTCCAATTCTCAGGTCTTTGAAGGTAACACAGCATCCTCCTGGAGAAACTGGCTGCTGATGGTTTGCATGGGTGTACTCTTCACTGGCTAAAAACTGTCTGGATGGCTGGGTCCAAGGCGTGGTGGTGAATGGAGCTAAATCCAGTTGGTGGCTGGTCACATGTGGTGTTCCCTAGGGCTCAATATTGGGGTCTGGTCCGTTTAATATTTTTTATCACTGATCTGGATGAGAGGATCAAGGACACCTTCAGGAAGTTTGTGGATGATGCAAAGCTGGGCAGAAGCATAGATAAGCTTGAGGGTAGGAAGGCTTTTCAGAGGGATCTGGACAGGCTGGATCAATGAGCCAAGCCCAATGGTATGACACTTAACAAAGCCAAGTTCTGCACTTGGGTCACAACAACCCAGTGCAACACTCCAGGCATGGGGACGAAAGCTGCTTGGCAGAAAAGGACCTGGAGGTGTTGATTGACAGCTGCCTGAACATGAGCCAGCAGTGTGCCCAGGTGGCCAAGAAGGCCAATGGCATCCTGGCTCTGGCAGGACTAGGTAAGCAACCATCAACCTGTACTCACTGCTGGTAAGGCCGCACCTCAAGAACTGTTGTTCAGCTTTGGGCCCCTCACTACAAGAAAGACACTGAGACTCTGGAGCATGTCCAAAGAAGGGCAACAAAGCTGGTGATGGCTCTAGAGAAGAACTCTTACGAGGAGCAGCTGAGGGAACTGAGGTTGTTTAGCCTGGAGAAAAGGAGGCTCAGGGGAGAACTCATCACTGTACAACCACCTGAAAGGTTGGGGTTCAGCCTCTTCTTCCAAGTAAAAGGTGATAGGACAAGAGGAAATGGCCTCAAGTTGCTCCAGGGGAGGTTTAGATTGGATATTGGGAAAACCTTCACACCCTAAAGTTCGCCAAGCATTGGAACAGGCTGCCCAGGGAGGTGCTGGAGTCGCCATCCCTGAAGGTTTTTAAAAGCAGTGTAGATGAAGTACTTAAGGACAGAGTTTAGTGGTGGACTTAGTAGTGTTAGGTTAGTGTTTGGAGCTGATGATCTTAAAAGATCTTCTTCAACCCAAATGATTCTATTCTGTGATTCTATAACCAAGTTGTGTCCTCAAGGTAACATTATTCCTGAATGGCCATTCCTGAATGTCTTCAGTTTATTCATGGCAGAGAAATCCCAGTGACAGAGTCCCTCAGTGGAAGGTGGACTAACTACTGGCATCTGTAGGAATTAACTGAAATTCTGCACTACGATGACTATGATTTGGCCATTTCTTCTGATTTTCCATAAGAAGATTAACTTGCACGTTCAACATTTAAAACCAAAGCTGAGCAATAACATGTCAATGAGAATTTCTGTTCTGTAGACATCCCTCTGCCTTGCTTAGCAGGAGTAAAATAGTCAAGGATCAAACTTGGTGTTCATGCCCTTACCCATAGCAAGGGAAGTTTAATGCTGGAAGTCTGAATGGCCAGAGTCAGTTCTTGGTGATCTTCACTACAGGTTTCTAGCTTCCACAGAAGGTGCAACACCAGAGCTGAAGGCAATGTGTGGCTGAGGCTCGCTGTGTGTGATGTTTCTAGCCTGCTGCATGCTGCTCAGAAGACTACAGTCTGTGGATGTGCACTACTTTCTATGCCTCCAGATGAACATTCACTGTGGGAGTACCAAAATAATTGTTCCCCCAGACAGGGAGAGGAGTAGAATTTCCTTATTTTAGGAGGGAAGATTGTATTACAAATTTCAGATTGAACACAGTGAAGCTACAGACCAGCTGCAGGTTGGGCTGCACAAAATAGCTTAATTCAGCAGGGGCACTTGAACTTGTAGGTTGTAATTCCATTCAGTTCTTTATCACCATCATTTTCATCCTGCTTTTCTTTCCCTGCAAAGAGCTGTACTTAGCCATCTCCCCAACAGAAGAACAGATGAACATTAAGATATATTGCATTTCAGTGATGACATCAAATATATTCTCTTTCCTGTGGGACTTTGAAGGTGTCAGAAGACAAGAGCAACAGCAAAAAAAATTAGTGTTTGCTTTGACATCTAGCAGTCATTGAACAACCGTGAGCATACTAAATAACAGAGGCATTTATTCATTAGCTGCACACCAGTTAATGCAGTTTTCTAGAAGTTTGGATGGGAATGCTTAGCTGCTGAAAAACTGCTTTCTGTGCTGCTTTATGCTTTTAGGCTGTTTCCTGGTGTGCAACAACAGCATGTCATTTTGACATCAAATTACAAAAGTGCTGTAAAATGGGCTGTTGTCTTTTTCCTGGGAAAAAAAAAAAAAAAAAAAAAAAGGTTCAGGCATTTCACTATTCAAAATACTTTGCAGCTGTAACAGGAGCAGATAAGCAACACTTGGTGTCTTCTGATTGTTTCAAATGAAACTTTTGTTTCTCAACAGAATGTGATGTTTTCCTGTAGTGTTGTGTTGCACAGGAAGCTCTGCTGCAGTAGAACAAGCTTTGAAATGTAGGTCTGGGCTGGTGTCTATTTCAGTAGCTTAGCCAAGCTGTTAGGCACTTCCAATTTCACGTATTTAGT